ATTGCCCCCAACAAGAAAGAAATGTCAAAATTCAGTAAACAACTAATGAACTAATCATCATCAACTCGTCATGTTTTATCATGACACGATGTAAATTGTAAACCATTCATCTCGTGACTATAACTTATCTTCATACATAAGGAAAATATTTCAATATTGGATAGGTTGGGAAAAATAATAATAAAATATTTTAAATTATATAAATAATAATTTAATTCTTAAAATATAATAATTTTATTAAAGTCTTTAAGAAGTTTTGTATCAATAAATTCTAAATTAAAAAAATTATTTTATCTTTATTGATAAGTTTTAATTTCTTATTCAATTCTCATAATTTTTTAAATAAAAGTTATAATTAAGACTTGTTATATTGAGAACTTATTTTTCTATAACATAAATTATACTTGAAAATTCATGATTTATTGTTTAACTATTTCTATTCACAGAATAAAATTATTATTCTTAAAAAAAGTTATAATTAAGACTTGTTTTTTAATAATAAAAATTACAATTGATAAGTTGTGATTTCTTTTTAACTTTTGTGATTTACAAAACAAAAGTTGTTATTCATTAAGCAAAAATTGTGATTGAGACTTATTATTTTTAATAATAGTAAAATGATCTTTTCACTTTAGAATTTATTGGACATAGAAATCTTTAAGAACTTCAGTGAATTATGATATTTTGAGGGACCAAATTATTATTTATATAATTCAAGGTATTTTATTATCATTTTTTCTATTATATTCTGAATTAATTTTGAGCATAAATAAAATGATATATCTATATATATATATATATATATATATAATGCAAATAATCATGTCCCAAAAAAAGTAAAATAACTAAAGTTCATAGAGCAAGGGATCATACAAACACATGGCTCACAATGGTAATAAATAAACATGTAAATATTACTTTTAGTCAAAATTATGATTTAGTCACTTTATTTTTTCTTTTTCTTTTAAAATCTTAGTTTCATATAATTTCAATTTTATTTTAATATAGTCCCTTTACATTAAATACGGTTTTTGTGCTTTTAATTTGTTAGTTCTAATCTAGTCAATTAGTTTATTTTTAATTTCACTTTCATTTTTGCTTTCCTTTTATCTTATTCCATTTGATCATTAACTTTTGAAAAAATATTCAAACAAAATTTTCTCTTTAATATTATTAACTTAATATGCTTAATAGAAAACTTTTATGTGATTCATTTTAATAAAGGCTTAAATTAGAGTGATTTCCTTTCCTTGTTTTTCCCTTTTAGTTTTTGACCAAGAGAATATTAGAAAACTAATAAACTCTCACTTTGGGTCCTCTTATTTTGTCTAAATTATTATTTTAAAAGATCTAATTTTTCTTGGCCACGGACTCTAAAATTCAGGATCTAAGTTAAGCTTTTATAAACTCATACGTTGAAGACCAAATCTGTTAATGTTTTAAAAGAACTTTATAGTGATAACTTCTATTTTCTTTCACACGAAAAGGTTTATTCGATTTTATAAAAAATAAAAAAGGTTTATTCGGTTATATAAGAAAGCTAACTCCTTTGCAAGACAACTTGCATTCTTATGAAAACAGTTTGTTTTGTTTTATTATTATTATTTTTTTTGACGTAAAGTCAAGTGGACAAATATACATAATAAGATGAAAGAAAAGGAGGAAAAAAAAAACCTACAATAGCTATGGGAAAATAAAGATTGATTAAAGTCATCTAGTAACCATGTGGAGCTACACCAAGTAAAAGCCTTGTCACTAAATGAAAAAAATAGAGTAGTTATATCTTAGGTAAAAGTACTCACAAGTTACAATCAGTATCATCACTTAACTCAAAATAGAACAAATAAATGCCCAAGATCTGATAAATTCCCATTTCACCCCATTTAGAACTGTTGAATTCAATGAAGCGGGCTGCGAAAACATATGACCAAAAAGTTTGCCAATTTCACAAAAGGAGAATTTTTTTTTTTTTCAAGATAATACCTTGTAAGTGAACTCCATCTATCCGTTACAAATCCAGTGGCTACGATAATTGCTCCATTTCTTTTGAATTTTCGGTATTCAATTATCCATGGGTGTATGTTGGAACCTGTGCTAGATGAATTGTCCTGAGTGAAATGATCAACAATTCTAAAACCCAAAACAAAAACATCTGTCACCTATAAAAGATGTGCCTTCAGAAAGATCTTGAACTGAATTCCACTGACAAGCGACTTTAAGAAAAGTGATATGTTCATGAAATTTCCAATAAACCTAGTCTAGGGTAACAGTAGTCCCTTCATATAGAATCAGATTCTTTTTTTGACACAAACAAATGAAGTAAATTGTAGATGCACTCAAGGAGTGAAAAGTGCTCGTTCTTGACCAAAAATTTCATAATTGTCATGAGCCAATTGACAAAGCCCTAGTGAGCTATGTGTCATGAGGTAATAGAAAGATACAAAATTCAATCAATTATGTCAACATTTTGAATGCTACATAATTGCAAATGTTGACTTGATTGCTTTCTTATTATTTCATAGCGGCACATTCCATGCTTCTTGCATTAAATATGAGCCCTCCATGTTAAATTTGGACCAATATAAATAATTTATATTTTATTTTATTATTGCATTTTTAATATTTTAATATTTTTACTTTAATAGTAGCAGGATCTAAAATAAAGATTTTTTTCAACTATCATATTTTCAAAAAATAAATTAAAAATTTTATGTATGAGCTATCCCAATAAATTTTAAACAATTTAGATCTATTGAGTTCATGGTATTCATTAGGAAGAATGATATTTAAGTCTCAAAATAATGAATTTATTATTTATGATTATCAAGTCTTGATAAAATTTTCTGAAAAATCAAATATAAATATTAATTCAAATATCATAAATTTAAAATTTATAATACAAATAAAACATTTAAATTATAAAAATAATTCTCAATTTGCAATTGAGATTCTTTTTTACAATTGTTTGAATCAAATATTTACCACTTATCTTTTTAAAAAATTTATCGAAGACTTAACTATTATAAAATCATAATTTTAAAACTTTATTATCATTCTACCTATTCATCATTGTAGTGAGCACCCACCATCACATTCACTTTATTAGATTTTTAGACAATTATGAATATGAATATCAAATGTAATCAAATGCCTGGCCTTAGCCTTAAAAAAAAAAAAAGATATCAAATCCAATCTGTGCTAACTGCTACGTGTATAATACGACTTAGAATCACAATATAGCATTATTTGCGAGCATATACAAGATGTTCGATAATTTGAATCAATTCTAGTTGCCCATTTTGGGATTTTCTTTTAGTTTGATTTTAGTTTTTCTCCCACACAAAACAAAAGTTATATTTTTTTTTCACATACTCCATACTCCATCCATATTTCTTTCAATAAGTAGGCAATTAAATTGAAATATGAATGGTTCATATGTGTCTACAATAAATAATATGTCATGTAGCAGATAAATGCTTCAATTATATATTAAATACTAAATAATTTACATAATTGTTCAATTGAAAAATCAAAACCAATTGATTTAGAAATTAATATTTGTTACAAGGAAAATATAATAAAAATTTAAATATTGATTGTCATCAAAAATTAAAAAAAACTTAAATTAAACTTATTTAAATTGAATATAGAGTAAAATATAATGATCTCCTTTCCATTTTGCTAAAATTATAGAAACCTCCTCTATATTTTTAAAATATATACTTGAATCTAATTTTTAACTTCATTAAGAATATTTTGTTAAAGATTTTAAAATACTTAATTTTTTATTTATTATCAAATTAAAAGATATTCAATTATTAATTTAACCTTATGAGCTAATTGTCTACTCTCTCTCCCAATTTAAAAAAATTTAAATAATTAAGTATTTCAAAATTTAAATAAATAATTCAAAAAATTTTATTTCATTAAATTTTTTAATTACGTGATTGAATATTTTTAGCAATATAAATATGTTTACATAACTAAAAAATTTAAAACATAAGTAAAAAGTTAAAAAATATATGCTCCCTCCATTCAAAAATATAAGGCATTTTTTGAGTAGTTGGATATTTAAAAATATAAGGTATTTTTAATATTTTGATATATAATCATTGCCTTTTTTTTTCAAATGTATCCCTGTTGATAATGACTTTATATTTATTATAGGGTGTTTAATAGAAATAAATATGAAAAGATAGGGTTAGTTAGAAAGTATGTAACTATTTTATTGGGGGTGATATTTGATTAAAAATATCTTACATTTTTTAATAGAAAGAGTATATGATTTTTTGGATAATTTAAATGATTTTTAGAAAACATTTAAATTTAAAGAGGAGTGCTTTAGTCCAATACATGTAATATAATGATCAACTAATAATTAGATAAACGAATATAAAATTTTAAAAATAGAGAAAATATTTGTATTTTGCAACTATTTATATTATAAAAGATTCATATAAGTTTCAATAATAGAAATGAGGCATTTTTAAATAAAATAAAATAGAAAGAAGATCAGAACATTTTACTCTTAAATATATAAGTAATTTAGATTCATGAGATGATTTGTTTTCTTTCCGAACGCTTGTAGTTATGCAAAATTAAATGCTTGAGTAAAAATCAAAAATTAAAATGTCATGTATTAATTAATAAAAATAAAATAGATTCTTATTTATTATGGTACTTTGATGGTTATGAACTCTTTTCATTTTACTTTACAGATCACATTTATTATATTTCTATTTCAAATTTTTTATTTTCATTATTTTTAAAATTAGTTACATTTCATTATATATTATTTCTTCTGTGCATGGAAAAGAAAATCTAGTTACCAATAATCTATGATTTTATTACACCGCAAACAAAGACAAACCATTAAATTAAAAAAAAAAGTTTTAGGAAATTGATAATTTACCCATACCACAAACACAAACGGAAAGTAATTGACTAAGCAAGGCTACAAATGTGCGTTTGTCATTGGTGTGATCTGTCCTTAGCGTCAACATTTTCCCACCGCTTCTCTAACCATCAAAACCACCCTCCTCTTCTTCCTCTCTCTCACTCGCTCGCAAGTCACAGCCAAATTCCACTTTCTCTTCTTCTTCATCTTGGCCAATGGATCCTGTTAGTGTGTGGGGAAATACTCCCCTCAAAACCATCGACCCAGAAATCCACGACCTCATCGAGAAGGAGAAGCGTCGGCAATGTCGCGGCATCGAGCTCATTGCCTCTGAAAACTTCACCTCCTTCGCTGTCATCGAGGCTCTAGGAAGTGCCTTGACCAACAAGTACTCAGAGGGTATGCCCGGAAATCGCTACTATGGCGGGAATGAGTTCATCGATGAAATCGAGAGCCTGTGTAGGTCACGTGCTCTCCAAGCCTTTCACTTGGATCCTGCCAAGTGGGGTGTGAATGTGCAGCCTTATTCTGGTTCTCCGGCGAATTTCGCTGCCTACACGGCGGTGCTGGAACCTCATGATCGCATAATGGGTCTGGATCTTCCCTCCGGTGGCCATCTTACTCATGGGTACTATACTGCTGGAGGGAAGAAGGTATCTGCGACCTCGATTTACTTCGAGAGTCTTCCGTATAAGGTGAATTCAAGTACTGGTTATCTTGATTATGACAAGTTGGAGGAGAAGGCCTTGGATTTTAGGCCTAAGTTGATCATTTGTGGTGGAAGCGCGTACCCAAGAGACTGGGATTATGCAAGGTTCAGGGAGGTTGCAGATAAGTGTGGAGCTCTTTTGCTCTGTGATATGGCTCACATTAGTGGTCTTGTTGCTGCTCAGGTACGTCCATTTCTTGCTTTTCTTGTTACTTGAGTTGTGGTTTGGTTACTGTGCATGGCATTTGTTTCTTCTTTGGATTTCATTTGTTTAAATTTTCTATGACGTTCGATAGATCTTGTTACATGCAAAATGAGATTGTTATGTGACTTTTAGCAATATTTGTTTCTGTTTTTATTTTCCTCAACATTTTTTTGCTATTATGATTTTTTATGCATCGAAGTGGAATCTATAGACCCACTGAAAAGGGGTTCTCTATTTCGATCTTTCATGTTTTGTCAAAAAAAAGTAGAACAAGAGAAATGGTTGTTGTCTGTAGAAGTGATCTTTAATACGTAATAATTTAATCTTCCCTTTTGATTTTTTTTCCAATGTGATTTTGTTTTTTCTCTACACATGACGCAAATTTGGAAGTGGTTGTCTGTTCAAGATGTGTACTACTTTGTAAGATGTGCTACTTGTTAATTTTCATGTGGTAATTCCAGAATTACCTAGCATTTAGCAGATATGTTGATATGCATGGATCTTCTTGTTGAACAGTGTCACCCCAGTCTTTCTTCTTCACTTAATATAACCATATAAAGTTTAGACACAAGAAGTGTGTATTTTATAAGGTCTATATGGACTACAAGTTTGATAAACAGTAATCAGTACCTTACATTATTGATTTTGATTTATGATATACTGTTAAGGTCTATGTCTCAGAATATGTTAAACAAACATTGTTGATCTGTATTTCAGTGGTCTGACTGAGAAAAGTTATTTCTTATATGGGCTACAGGAAGCTAATAACCCTTTTGAGTATTGTGACTTAGTCACAACAACAACGCACAAGAGCCTGAGAGGTCCTAGATCTGGTATGATCTTTTACAGGAAGGGGCCAAAACCACCGAAGAAAGGCCAGCTTGAGGATGCAGTTTATGACTTTGAAGACAAGATCAACTTTGCTGTCTTCCCTTCCCTTCAAGGTGGTCCTCACAATCACCAGATCGGTGCTCTCGCCGTTGCCCTGAAACAAGCCATGTCACCTGGCTTCAAGGCCTATGCCAAGCAAGTTAAGGCAAATGCAGTTGCCATTGGAAATTACTTGATAGGCAAAGGCTATAGCATTGTCACTGGAGGAACTGAGAATCATCTTGTTTTGTGGGATCTGAGGCCTCTTGGTTTGACTGGTAAGTAAGTGAACTTATGCCTAACTAAAGAACAAAAGAACAAGTCAAACTAAATCTTGTTCAACTTTATGTCTATGAAGGCATCAGTTTTTTTAATGAAATTTTTGTCACTGCTTAAGTAAGTGAACTTATGCCTAACTGAAGGAGAAAAGAGAATATAAAATTAAGTGAACTTATGCCTATGAAGAAGAAAAGAGAAGATAAAATTAAGTGAACTTATGCCTAACTTATGCGATTTTTTTGTGCTGCTTGAGGTTCCTTCAGGCAATAAGGTGGAAAAAGTTTGTGATCTCTGTAACATCACAGTGAACAAAAATGCTATTTTTGGTGATAGCAGTGCCTTTGCTCCTGGAGGAGTAAGAATTGGTAAGTACTCATTTTTTTTAACTTGAATCTGCTATTGGAAGATCCAGCTTATGTGTAGCAATAGAAAATGTAAGATTTTGGAGTCTCAAAACTAACCTCCGGTGACTATAGACTTCTCTTCAAACCACATGTGGGAATGGATCTGGGTTAGAGTCACGAGAGAATGTGGGAATGAACCTTGGATGGATTTTCACACTAGATACACCGAGAGAGAATGATGAGCAGAGCAAAGAGAGGGAGAATTTTTCAGTCGTCTGTTTTGAATGATGTAAAACCACCCCATATATCATGACAGAAATTTAGACAGTTACATAACTGCTCCTTCTTCTGGTAACCACCACCACCATAATTAAATAGATAATTATGTAACTTAAATTGGACCTCTGCTCGCTTGGCCCAATCCATCAAGGTTGTAGTCCAACAGAAACCAATAGCATTCTTATAGAATCATGTTATAAAGTATTGTTAGTAGAAAGTAGAAACTTTACTGAACCTGCATTACTTCTGGCTGAGCTAGAAGCCCAAATTGAAAATTCTGTAGATGGTTAAATTTTATTCTGCTAGAATTTAGTGGATACAACTTATGCACCGTGACATTGCCACTTGCCAAACCAAAATATGAAAAACAGTGACTATGCTTTGTTTGCTCTTACGTGTGCTCTTTCATTATGGTATATCTTCAAAATGCTCATCTATAGGTCTCTGTCACTAGGTATGGTCATGTCTATAATTTGTTCTGATCTCAGTTGATTGTTGAAGTAGATATTCTAAATCACTTCACTTGAAGGTTGAGATAGAGAAAGAGAGGGAGAAGAGGACCAATTCATGGAAGACTCATGGCATAGATGAGTCTCATCTTTCCTTCTCTTTCTCTCTCTGAATTTTAGGTGAAGTAAACTTCAGTGGATCTTGGTTTGTTGTTTGTTTTGCCTTCATTTTACTCAAAGTAACTGACGAAAGTGTCGATTCACAGGAACTCCTGCCATGACATCTAGAGGCTTGCTTGAGAAGGACTTTGAGAAGATTGGCGAGTTCCTTCACCGTGCAGTGTCTCTCACACAGGAAATCCAAAAGCAGCATGGCAAGCTTTTGAAGGACTTCAACAAAGGCTTGGTGAACAATAAGGCTATTGAAGAACTGAGAGCTGATGTTGAGAAATTTTCATCCTCATTTGAGATGCCTGGCTTCCCGGCATCAGAGATGAAGTACAAGGATTAAGTTGGATCATATAAACCCCTGATATTCCTTCCTCTTATATGTTTCTTGTAGGTTAGCTGGGGTTTATTTTTATTTTTTTTTTCCTTTTCAATTTATATTGAAGCTCTCTGTCTTGTCTTTGATTTCTTGTTTTGTAAGCCAAATATCGTGTTTTCAATAACAACCAAAGCAAAAATATAATTTAGATGCAAATGGGTTTTGCCTAAAAATTTTGAACGTCCAGGAAGTTGGCAAATATTTCAGGTTTGAATTGTTATTGTCATGTGAAAAAAAGTTCAAATTTTTTAAATAAATGAATAATTTGTATGACTCAGTGGCGAATGGGGGCAAGGGCCTCCAATATTCCTTTGGAAAAATTTTAAACTTTTAGTTGTAAAAAACATTAAATTAGATTGGCCCCCTCACTTCATGTTTTAGCTTCAATTCCCCCCCCCCAATTATCCCCTGGATTCTTCATAGTGTATGTATATACTTAATTTGGTTTTAATCTACTGAGTTTGGTACGTGTCACTTTTACTGCAGAGCTAAGCTATGATATATGAAGAAGGTCTAAGAAGCTACTTTACTATATGCTGATGATATCTGTGGTGGGTTTGCTTCAAGCGGTATAGCCTTGACAACAAATGCTTGGCAAAGACAACTTCAGGTGTTTTTTCTGTTTCACGCAACCATCTTAACACTGTTGAAAACGAGCTGCTAGCTTCACGCTGGATCCCCAATGGAATGAGAGTGATATTCACTTCAGACGCAAATGTTGTCTTGGTTGCTAAAAGGATCTCAAAACATATTTAACTCTACATGTTGGTTTGAAGCTGCAAAAAATAGGTTTCCTTTGTCATTTCCATTCTCGCTCACGTGTCCCCCTACTATATAAACCTGCTGTAAAAATTTTGAGCTCATTTTGTAATTGTTCACTATAAAGTACTGTTGTACTGAGGACTATAAAAAATTACTAAGATTGTTGGCGGGCTGATGTTTCTTGAATTAATTTCCAAGTATTTCATAGTGGGAAGTTTATGGATAAATCAACTGACCTGAATTCGAGAGTTTATTGTTCTCTGACACGGCCTTGGTCAAATTAGTCAAGGGTCCATTGGTGAACACTGTAATCTTAGACCCTTGTTTGATTGTTGGCAATAGCGGTTGTCTAAGTTCAGGGTGATCAGTGTCCCTGGAGACCTCCAAACTCTGCAGTTTTCTGCAGTATACTTGGTTCAAAAAATTCAAGGGATCTAAGGCCCTTTGGATATTAAAAACTGCTTTTAAGGTCCAATATATTTTGAATTGTTTCTACAAGAACAAAGCCCTCAAATACAAATATGTTTCTTGATGAAAAGATGCATTTGCCCTTAACCACACAAATTATATATGACAAATAGATATTGTGTTGTTTGTATATGGATTTTGTCATGTTCTTAACGGACATTGTGTTGTATATACATTTAAGAAATTTGTATATCATTATTCAATTTAATCACACAAATTATGTATATAATAAATAGACATTGTGTTATTCACATATGAACATTGTCATATTTTTTTATTGACAACATGTTTTACATACACCTAAAAAACTTATATATTATTGTTTAACTTAATTAAATAGATTATATATAATAAATGGTTATTGTATTATTCATGTATGGATCTTGTTATATGTTTTATGGATATTGTGTTGTACATACACATGAAAAGCTTGTATATTTGGGGCAAATATATCTTATTACAAAGAAACATATTTGCATTTGAGCCCTCTGGGTTTACAGAAACAATTCAAAATATATTAAGCCTTAAATGCGATTTTTTCCATTCTAAGGAGTTTAGGTGCGATCCTCCCAAAATTTAGATTCATCCATTTTTTTCATTCTACCTTTTTAAGAATTAATATTTTTTTATTTATCAATGTATTTTATATTAGTAATCTACTTTTTTTTAAAAAAATGTAATTTTAAGTTTAATTTTTTCTCAAAAATATCAAATTAGTCAAAGAAATATATAATAAAAGTCATGTCCATTTGTCATTATACATCTTAACTAGTGTTTAAATTAAATCATCTAAATAATTTTTAATTTATTCAACTGATTTCTAAAAAAAACAATCTAAACATAATCATGTTACAGTTATAAACTTTTATCATCACCTCAGTTCAGTTGACTTTGATCTTGGTTGGGGATTTTTTAATCCATAAACACAACCTTGGTCATTATAACTTTTTGATTGGAAACAACTCAATGTGCGTAATTTTGTAACTCAATAATGTGAATAAACTAAGGGAATTGAATTATTTTAAGTTAAAGTTTTGAGATTAAATCATTTCATTGAGATAAATTTCAAACAATACAAATTATGTTTTCCCAAGTAAAACGATAAAAAAAAAATGTAGAATATTTAATAGAGTTTTAGCTTAATTAGTGGTTAGTACTTTTTGTAATTAAAAGATTCGAAGTTTGAACCTCAATTGGAGTAAAACTAAAAGTTAGAACTACAGGCGTAATATTCCTAAAAAAATTAAAATTCGGACACTTGAAGCAATTGTTTAATGTTTACCACGGGATTAAATTAAGGTGTATTTATGATTAATTAGGAGAAGCTTTGAAATTGTTTTTGGCGGTGGCTTATAAATAAGCCCTAAAACAAAACAAAATGGAGGGGATCATGGGGGAAAGGTTTTGGGCCGCTAGGGTTCGTCTCTATGATGTGTAATTGGTTCTATAAATACATTATCCTCAATGAGTTGGTTTTTGTTAGAATTCTCTGAAGAAATTGAAAAAGAAAGGAGGTTAGGTTAAGCTTTCTCATTCTATTTATATCATATTGATTGAATTATTCTATTTTTGAATTCTTATTAATTGTAATCTCTACCTTTTTCTTTCATTTTTACATATGCCGTTTTTGTATCTATATCGAGCAGATAGAGTTTTGATTCTTGGGCTGTAATTTGGATTGGTGAATATGGATTTCGGTTTTAAAGATTCTTTGGTAGTTTTCTGACTTTGACATTGGGCCAGAGTGTTGAGCCTCGAAGATCATCACAGCCTCAGGAATTTGTAGATAACAATTTTATGAGTTACTCAACCGTATCAAAAACAAAGGATAACAATTTCAAAAGATAATATTACAAACCCATATAAAAAAATTATTTACAAAAAAGTTCCATGAACATGTGAAAACGCAGTCGGGTTCAATGAGACTTTATTGTAATTAATTTATCATATAAAATGATAAAAATAACTTCAAACCCTTGCACATTTGACCTCTATTGACCGACCACTTGTGGTTGTTGACTAGCCAAAAATATTTTTAATGAATTATTTGCATTTTAATATTTACAAGTCAAACATTACAAATCTCCAAGTAAATCTTCAAAACTTCTTATATGTACAAATTGATTTCTAATAATATTAATAGGTTGATATTTACAAGTTAATTTTACAGATTTACAAATTAAACTTCTTAATTTAAAAGTTTAACTTATAAATTTGCTAGTTGACTTGTAAATATAAGAAATTTTACTTGTAAATCATAAATGTTTACTTGTTAATACATGATGTTTGGCTTGTAATATTAAAGTATTAATGTTTTAACAAAAATATTTTTAAAAAATTATTTTTTATTGGTCAATGCCCACGAGTGACCGATCAATGACCGTTGGTGGTAGGTCAACATTAGTTAAATGATTGAGAATCTAAGGATTTGTGTTATTTTATATGATAAATTAAACACAATTAAGTTTCATAGAATTTGAGTATGTCTTCACAAATTTGTAGAACTTATATATAAATAAATTTTTTATGTGATTTGTTTATAATTTTCCCATTTCAAAATGTATAGCAATATTAACATTACATATTTTTGGATTAAGAGATAAAAATATCTCAAAAGTTTTTCAAATAAATAATTAGTACTCTTATCGATCAAAAGGAGCAATATTACTTTGGAAGTGGTAAAAGTGGCACGGTGTCACCTTTTCAACCCCTAACTAACATTGATTAACATAATTCTGAGAAACTCTTCGCGCTGGCAATCATGACTGAGTGAGAGGGATTGGGATGAGAAGAATAGAGAAATCAAAAGAAGCAAATTGGAGAACTCCACATTCAATCCGAACTAATAATGGCTTATCCCTTCCCATTCACTTTTGAAGTTATTGTTAAGCTAACTCCGATTAAACTTCAATTTGTAGAGCAAACCCCTTAGGAGGCTTTCTCATGCAGAAGCAATGTGACTCTCTTGGACTTCAATTAAACTTCCACATTCAACCCCAACCAGTAATGGCTTTCTCACACCATGGGTAAGTAAACGAAATGGGTAGAAAATTTCTCAGCGCCGTGGGTTCTCTCTTACGAAGGGTTTGCAACTTTGTAAAAGGATATAGGTTGTTAAATGTGATCGACCCACTAACTAAGTAATTTCACTGGGAAAATGCAAAGCAGAATCAATGGAAACACACACCAAAATCCCACTTTAAAAAACACATGATTTAACAAAATATCAAATAAGTAGTCATATAAACACAAACATGGCTGCATTAGACTCATACACTAATCGAAAATACAAACGAGGTTTGAGAGAGAGTGAAACTCGAACACCTTGCTCCAATACACTCTTACTCTTTCCTACGCACTTCTTGCAACTCTTCTTTGCAAGACTTATGAAGAGGCAGTGGTGAAGCCACATATATGCGAAGGGCAATATGGCCCCCTCATTTGGAGAAAATTATATATTAGAATGCAAGTTTATATAATTTTTATCTCTCTCTGATTTTTTTTAAATACATTTTGCACCCTTTACTTGGAAGAAATTACATGTTAGGGTACAGAGTTTTTATATTTTTACCTCCTTCTTTTCATATTTTGCACTCTTTATCTTGATGTTTCAAATTCTAAACCCATCGTGTCTTAGATAACTATAAGATAATTGTTCAAAGATTCTAAAATATAAAAATATAGCAAAAAATTATTAACTATATAATTATTTATTTTTTAAAAAAATTAATATTTAAATACTTTTGCCCCTCCTAACTGGCTCTGACACTAAAGAGGCGAGTGCCTTTTATACTCTGAATCGGAACATTGTATCGATTAGCTTGTAAGAATGTACATTGAATGTAAATTTGGGTATTGAAAAAATTCATTTGCACGATTGATCTCATTTGGGAAGTAAAAACAGAAAATACCAAGTTGTAAAATCCCTAGGGTGGCTGCAGACAAAGGGTTTTCTTTCGTATTCTTTGTCTACTTATTGTTAAGCGACTTTGATTAAACTTCCACATTCGACCCAAAACCGGCAGAGTTTCTTCATTCTATTTGCTATGCATAAGAAATAATCATATGAATCTTCTGAGTTCCATTTGCTGTCACTTGGCTTGCCACGTTAGAATTTCAAAAAAAAAAAAAAACGACATTACCTCACCTATAACACTTCTTAGACGGCATTGATTCTTTTAAAATGTAAAAGCACTAGTTCTCTTTTAACCCTATTTTTTTTAAAAAAAAAAGTTGATTTGAAAACAAATATGGCTTATCAATTAAATATAAATTTCCATAAATAAAGTTGTCTTGTCTTTAATTTATTGTTTCGTAAGCCACATATCATGTTTTCAATAACAATAAAAACAAAAATATATTTTGTATGCAAAACGGTTTTGCCTAAGATTTTTAAGTCTCTAAGTATTATCAGGTCTGAGTAGGTTTTAGAAAATATTTCAAGTTTAAATTGCTGCTTGTCATTTAAAAAGGTTAAAATATTTTTTCATAATAAAAAATTTAGATAAGTTGGGTCTTATGACTCATTAGAGATAGGGTATGCTTTTAAACTCAATAAATACTTATAAAAGTACTAACAAATCGCCCAACAATAAAATCATCACATTAACAATGTGATTTGATTATATAACATTGTAAGTTGTAAGTTAAATCTTTGTTAATTAGATCAATTTTTGTTGGTAAAAAAGTTAAAATTTTTGGATAAGCTAAAAAGCTGA